AAGCTGGGAAAGAGGCTGCTCAAAAAGTAAACTGGATCAAGGACAAACTCCTGCATATCTATTACCAGAACAGCATTGATGACAAGTAGGTTGAGTTGCATTTTAAATTGCAAAATAACTGTATACAATGTATGAGATCATGGATGGTTTTCAAATGTGTTTAGAAGAAATTATTATTCACAATATTGTAACTGTTCTTTCTTCTGAATTTGAAAAAAGACTTGAATTGTTGTACATATCTGTGTAGTTGACATTCCTTAGTTTTGCACTTCTGCGGGTGGGCCGTAGCCTTAGAACTTGGTCTCTTTTGGGTTGCTTAACAAATAATTACTTTATTTTGTACAAGCTGACCTTTTTCAGGTTTATTTGTTTAAGAAGCAGCTTCATTCACGTACAATTATTTGTGTATATTGTTTACATATTTCACTAGACTTGCTCTTCATTTTTTCAGGCTTTTGTTACCGTTAGTCAATGCTACATTGAGTTCCCGACCCATCTCCCCTTGGGTAGCAAAAAATTATGTTTATGTAGTAGATAATACAGCGTGGAGCTGGAGGAACACAGCAGGCCAGGCAGCATCAGAGGACCAGGAAAGCTGACGTTTCGGTCGGAACCCTTCTTCAGAAATGGGGGAGGGGAAGGGAGCCCTGAAATAAATAGAGAGAGGAGGGGTGGGGCTGGGGAAGGTAGGTGGGATGGTGATAGGTGAGTGCAGGTAGGCAGTGGTGGGGATTGGTCAGTGAAGTGGGAGGAGCGGATAGGTGGGAGAGAAGACGGACAGGTCAAGGAGGCGGGGTTGAGAGGTAGGGTTGGTCTTGGGAGGGGGAAGGGGAGGCCAGGGATGGAGAGATTTTGAAGCTAGTAAAGTCCATATTGTGACCACTGGGTTGTGGCCTTCCAAGGCGGAATATGAGGTGCTGCTCCTCTAGTTTCCAGGTGGCGCCGTTGTGATACTGGAGGAGGCCCAGGATGGACATGACGTCCTGGGAGGGGGAGTTGAAAGTGACTGGAAGTTGTTGTTTGTCATGAACCAGGCGCAGGCGCTCTACAAAGCATTCTCCGAGCCTCCGCTTGGCCTCCCCGATGTAGAGGAGGCCACATTGGGAGCAGCGGATGCAATAGACCACATTAGCAGATGTGCAGGTGAACATCTGTCTGATGTGGATGGTTTTTTTTTGGGCCCTTGGATGGAGGTGAGGGGGGAGGTGTAGGGGCAGGTGTAGCACTTCCTGCGGTTGCAGGGAAAGGTGCCAGGAGTGGTGAGGCTAGTGGGGAGTGTGGAGCAGACGAGGGAGTCACGGAGAGAGCAGTCCCTACGGAAGGCACATAGGGGTAGGGGTGGGGATTGCAGGTGGTGGAAGTGGCGGAGAATGATATGTTGATTCTGGAGGTTTGTGGGATGATAGGTGAGGACAAGGTGGATTGTTTTTTTGTTTTGGCAGGGAGGGAGTGTGAGGGCAGAGGTGCAGGAAATGCAAGAGATGCGGTCAAGAGCATTTTCGACCACTGAAGGGGGGGATGTTTATGTAGTGCCTTGATGTGCCACATATCCCAAGATATTTATTGAGCTGGATTTTACAGGACACTTAATCCCCTGCACCGTTGACTGTAAAATGAATATGGAGGACTGCCCACAATCGTGATAGCTGCCCTTTGGAAATTTAATGCTGAGAACAATGTTCATTGTTTTAAAGTGAGACTATTGCCTCTTTTTGTTCCAGATCAATCAGATGATCAGTATCTCTGTAGCCCCAGCAGCATCAGCTGAGAACTGTGGCTGCTGTTGCAACTAAGGGCCATGTCACCTTGCTGTGCAGTCTGTGCAAGCCTCGATTAGGGATCTGAATGAAGGCGTGGGGGTTGGTGAGGTTCAAGAGCCCAGGTGGTGAGGTTTCAAGGAGGGGCTGTCTTGCAGGGATCAGCAGTAAACATGGGAGCAAACCACCCTGTGACTGATAGAGCAGTGAGTGTTCAGATTAGGAAACTGAAGGTCACTGGCTCCTCAGCCTCCTGCTTTTTGAGACGGTGGCCCTTCCCCCACATCTGGAACTGGCATCGGATGCAGCCTTTTGCCAGCGCTTGGTAATCTTTTTCCAATGGTCTGGGGGAAACTGGGAGCCAAGAAATCTTGAAATCACAGAAGTAGAGGACTTCCTTGTCAAGTAATGTGGAATTTCCAGCTTAAAACTATATATGTTTAAGAGTGACTATGTTGAGAAAGAATGTATTGCATGCTATAATAATGAACACTATCAATTGTTCAATTTCAATCTGTGATTGAAATTTGAGGTGTGGCAAAGTGGGTAATAAATACTGCTTAAAAGCTTTCGGCTTTGTACATATGCAATGGAAACACATTCGCTGTGACCACTCCAGTCTTGGAAAGAATATTTAGAATGATAGCCAAAGTACGTGTTTGTTGTAATGGGGAAAAGAAAATCTTTTGCTAATTTATGCCTGTTGTCTCATGCTAATCTAAGTACACTGGTGTCTTAAGAATGAATGAATGCTTTTCAAGAAAATAATTTGACCCCCATGGTAATATATCATCCTATTAGGAGGGAGGTGATGACTTAGTGGCATTATTGTTGGGCTATTAATCCAGAGACCTAGGAAGTGTTATTGGGACCCAGGACCCATGGGCAGATGGTGAAATTTGAATTCAATAAAAAAAAAGTCTGGGATTAAGAGATGAATGATGACTATGAAACTGTTGTTGATTGTTGGAAAAACCCATCTGGTTCACTAATGTGAAGGAAATCTACTGACCTTGTCTGGCCTACATGTGAGTCCAAATCCACAACAATGTGGTTGACTCTTAACCGCTCTTTGGGCAATTAATGCATAATAAATGGTAGCCTAGCCAGCCACATCCACACCCCGTGAATGAATAAAACAAATCATGAGTTCTTATGTAGTTACTATTTAAGTACCACCTTATCTAATGTCTTTCAATGGAGGTAGTTTGAGCTAAGTTATTTCGAGCTATGAAGCTTGATAACGAGAGATTCTGCTCAGAAAGTATGTGTGAAAGTTTTCATTGCACTTTTTTTCAATTGCCAGAACATTTGTACCTGTAACTGTGTTACCTGCATGTCGCATAATTATTTGTTGTTTGCCATTTGACTCTCATATTTTCTTGAGATTTAGCATTGTTCAAAGTATGCTTTTTAAATTTTTCTCTGAATTTATCCAGTTCTTGCGCTTTTATTTTCTATTAAAAGTATAAAAACATCATCTGAAATAGAGATCTTTAAATTTGGCAATTAAAACTTACTTTGAAACTCCTTTAATGGTAATCTATTTATGGATCTTCAGTGCTGTTTAGTCAGCCAGAAGTTCTGTAAAATCTGAGATCTAGAATTCTGTGGTGAAGCTTCCCAGATGCATGGAGCAGTAGAAGCTTTCTATCCAGCTCTTCCTGAAAACACTATCAGAAGACCTTATCTTTGAAAAGGCCACTTTCAGGTGCTCCAGAATTCTAAAATCACCTCAGTGCTGTTCAGTGGTGGCCTCCATGATGCTGCCTGATATTTTACTTCTGTCATTAAATGCCTGGCACACTGTGAACAGCTTGGGAGATTTGATATTTACTTAAGCTTCCAAGCCAGATTTTCCACTCAGAGATAGCTGAGGATACGGCGAATGTGTTTCCGTTGCATATGTACAAAGCTGAAAGCTTTTAAGCAGTATTTATTACCCACTTTGTCACACCTCAGAGTTCAATCACAGATTGAAATTGAACAATTGATAGTGTTCATTATTATAGCATGCAATACATTCTTTCTCAACATACTCGCTTTTAAACGTATATAGTCTTAAGCTGGAAATTCCACTTTACTTGACAAGGAAGTCATCTTCCAGTGGTTCTGCAGTAAGGAACCACCAGGTGGATGCTGATGCTGACTGTGAGCCTGGAGAAGGGAGTTCTCATTTAATAATTGGTGTAGGTGTGCTCTGGTCTTGAGTGCAATAGGCAATGGTAGAGCTGAGTATTTTTGTTCTCGCATGGATATCCAACATTTGTTGCCCATCCCTAATTGTCCTTGAAATGAGTGTTTATCTAGGCCAGAACAGTTATGTCCAACCACTTTGCTGTAGTTCTGGAGTCACATGGATGCCAGATGCAACAAGGATGGCAGATTTCCTTCCCTGAAGGACATGAATGAACTAGGTATGTTTTTATGGCAATTGACAATAGCTTCACATTCACCGTTAGACTAGCTCTTAATTTCAGATTTTATTGAATCTAAACTTCAGTACCTATCGTGGTGGGATTCTCACCCACATCCCTGGAAAATTAACCTGGGCCAATGGATTTCCAGCTAGTGACGTTACCGGTACGCTGCCATCTTCCCTCCTCTTGGGAGTTGCATATGTTGGGAGACAATCCAGTTCAGAGGACTTGTTTGGGGCTGGAGTCATGGAGTATTTTAGTATTATGTAAATTTATATATCCAACCAGTATGTATGTCTAACATTAACCAACTTTTTATCTCATGCTTCATGTTTTCCTAAATTAGATTATTGGTGGAAAAAATCTTCGCTCAGTACCTTGTTCCACATAATCTGGAGACAGAGGAAAGAATGAAGTGTCTGTATTACCTTTATGCTTCCTTGGACCCAAATGCAGTAAAGTGAGTGCTATTTCAAGTTAAATTTTATGTTCAACAGAATGACGAACATTATTTGTGTGGCATTTTGTTGCATTGCCCTTCCTGAAGTCCATATAGCTACTGCACTACTTTGAACCTTCTCCAATAACTCGTCAAGGAATTCAATCAAGGTAGTTGAGACAGTATTTTCCTTTAATAAATCCATACTGATGCTCCTTGGCTAACCTTGTGTTTCCAATAAAAGGTCTGTTGTTCCTGATAATAATTTCTGATAATTTTCTCACCATTGATATTAGATTCACTGATCTGCAGTTACCTGGTTTATCACTCTTCCCACTCAGGAACTGTGGTATCAAGTTTATCAGCCCCCCATTTGGTTACTGCTACCGTATTCGATGACTACTATTACTGTCCTCTTCCATGAAGACTGATACAAAGCATTTATTCAATTCTGCCATTTCCTGATTCCCCATTTATTATTTGTCCAGCCTCATTCCAAGGGCCTTTGTTCACTTTGGCCTCTCTCTCTCTCGTGTATTTAAAGAAGGTCTGACAATTTTTTTTTATTATACTGCTTGCTAATTTTCCGTTATAGTTTATTTTATTGATAATATTTTTAGTTGTCTTTTGATTTTTAAAATTTTCCCAATCTTCTGGTTTACCACTAATGTTTAACATATTTTGTGTTTTCTCTTGTATTTTGAAGCTGAGGGTGCCCTAATAAAGATTTTTCGTAATTTATTCATTGTGAGATGTGGGCATCACTGGCTGGCCAGCGTTTATTGCCTATCCCTAGTTGCCCTTGAAAAGGTGGTTGTCAGCTGCTTTTTTGAACCGCTGAATTCCACCTGCTGTGAATTGACCCATAATGCCCTTAGTGAGGGAATTCCAGAATTTTGACCCAGCGAACATGAAAAATGGCGATATATTCGCAAATCCAGATGATGAGTGGCTTGGAGGGGAACTTGCAGGTGTGTGTTCCCATATAGCTGTTGCCCTTGACCTTCTAGATGGAAGTGGTCATGGGTTTTGAAGATGCTGTCTGAGGGTCTTCCTTGAATTTCTGCAGTGCGTCTTGTATGTAGTGTGGACTGCTGCTATTGAGCATCACTTGTGGAAGGAGTGGATGCTTGTGGATATTGTGTCAATCAAGTGGGCTGCTTTGTCCTAGATGGTGTCAAGCTTCTTGAGTGCTGGTGGGGCTGCACTCATCCAGGCAAGTGGAGAGTATTCCATCACACTCCTGACTTTTGCCTTATATATGGTGGACAGGCTTTGGGGAATCAGGGAGTAAGTTACCTACTGCTGTATTCCTAGGCTCTGACCTGCTCTTGCAGCCACTGTTGTTTATGTGGTGAGTCCAGTTGAGGTTCTGCTGATGATAAGCCCCAGGATGTTGATAGTTTGGATTCACTGATGGTAACAACGTTGTCAAGGATTGCTGGTTAGATTGTCTCTTATTGATGATGGTCATAGCCTAGCATTTGTGTGGCATGATTGTTACTTGCCACTCGTCAGCCCAAGCCTGGATATTGACTAGAAATTGTTTCATTTGAACATGGACTGCTTCAGTATTAAAGGAGTTGTGAATGATGCTGCACATTGTGCAGTCATCAACGAACGTTCCCATTTCTGACCTTAACGATGGAGGGAAGGTCATTGAAGCAGATGAAATGATTGGGCCCAGAACACTACCCTGAGAAACTCCTGTAGAGATGTCTTGTAGGTAACTGACCTCCAACAACCACGATCACCTTCCTTTGCAGGTATGACTCCAAACACTGGAGAGTTCTTTCCCTAATAGCCATTGATTCCAGTTTTGCCAGGGTTCCTTGATGCCACACTCAGTCAAATGCAGCCCTGATGTCAAGGGCTGTCACTCTCACTTCATCTCTGGAATTCAGCCCTTTTGTTTGTGTTTCAGCCAAAGTAGTAATGAGGTCCGGAGCTGAGTGGTCCTGGTGAAGCCCCAATTGGGCGTCACTGAGCAGGTTATTGCTGAGCCAGTGCTACTTGATAGCACTGTTGATGACACCTTCCATCACTTTACTGACAATCGAGAGTAGACTGATGGGACGGCAGTTGGCTGGTTTGGATTTGCCCTTTTTTTTGTGTGCAGGACGTACTTGTGTAATTTTCCTCACTGTCGGGTAAATACCAGTGTTGTAACAACTTGAACAGCTTTTCTGGCAAGTTCCAGAGCACAAGTCTTCAGTACTATTGCCGGAATATTGTCAGGGCCCGTAGCCTTTGCAGTATGCAGTATCTCCAACCATTTCTTGATATCACATGGAGTGAATCATATTGTCTGAAGACTGGTATCTGTAATGCTAGGGACCACCAGAAGAGGTCAAGATGGATCATCCACGTGGCACTTCTGGCTGAAGATTGTTGCAAAAGCTTCAGCCTTGCCTTTGTACCTACGTGCTGGCCTCTTCCACCATTGAGGATGGGGCTATTTGTAGAGCCGCCTTCTCCAGTGAGTTGACGACTGGATGCGGAGGACATGCGTTTGTTGTGGGATCGCTTCGCTCTGTCAATCACTTGCTGCTTATGCTGTTTGGCATACAAGTAGTCCTGTTTGGTGGCTTCACCAGGTTGACACTCCATCTTCAGGTATGCCTGGTGCCGCTCCTGGCATGCCCTCCTGCACTCTCCATTGAATCAGGGTTGATCCCCTGGCTTGATGGTAGTAGTTGAGTGGGAGATATGTTGAGCCACGAGGTTACAGGTTGTGCTGGAGTACAATTCCCCAACAAATGGTGGCATACAGTGACTCATGGATGCCCGGTCTTGAGTTGCTAGATCTGTTCGAAGTCTGTCCTATTTAGCACGGTGATAGTGCCACACAACACGATGGAGGTTATTCTAAATGTGAAGATGGGACTTTGTCTCCACAAGGACAGTGCAGTGGTAGCACTTGCCAGTACTGTCATGGACAGATGCATTTGCAGCCGGCAGATTGGTAAGGATGAAATCAAGTATGTTTTTCCTTCTTGTTGATTCTCTCACCACCTGCTGCAGACCCAGTCTAGCAGCTACGTCCTTTAGGTTTATAAAATCATGAGGGGCATGGATAGGGTGAATAGCCAAGGTCTTTTCCAGGGTAGGGGAAACCACACCTAGAGGGCATATGTTTAAGGTGAGAAGGGAAAGATTTCAAAGGGAGCTGAGAGACAACTTTTTCATGCAGAGGATGGTGTGTATGTGGAATGAACTGCCGGAGGTGGTGGTGGAGTTGGGTGCAATTACAATATTTAAGAGGAATCTGGATGAGTACAAGAATAGGAAGGGTCAAATGCTGGCAAATAGGGCTAGGTCACTTTAGGTTATCTGGTCAGCATGGATGAAATGGATCGGAAGGTCACTTTCTGCACTGTATGACTCTGACTCTATCTTCTGAAATGATCTGGGAGGCCTTGGATGGACTTACTGCTACCAGTCCTCCGCATTGATGTTAGTATGCGTTAATGATACCAACTAGGGAATAAAGTCTTGATAAACCGAATAGGTTTGTTGCCTAGTACTTAATCGCTAACATACATAACATCTGAGATGTATAAAAGTCTTCTGTGAGACCTCAGACTGTATTTGGGAACAAGTACACATTCCTGCTGCTGAAATGTTTCAGGACACAACTTAGAGAAAAAGACCCAATACAATGGAGCACTGCAATACTGAAATAACTGGTTAGATCCTTCAAGGTGCAGTTATTTCTGTTCTCATGGATGAAGTTTATCTCGTGTTGTCAGTTAACCCTTTTATGTACTACTTCTCTTATAACAAGTTCAGTTTATTGTTTCCTGCTATTTCTTTTTCCTGGCTTTTCTGCATCCTGTTTAACTTTTAAAATTCCCACTTATAACATCTCAATCTTTCAGCTAAATCTTGCTGCTGGTATTTTTACAAGCGTTTTTACTTTTGATTTACTTTGTGATACAAGGCACAATAGCTTTCAATCAACCTTTTTCCTTCAGAAGAGGATGCCTACTTTGTATTAAGATTAATTCTGAACAGCTGCCAGTGCTCCATTTTGCTGCACTGTCTTGCAATTACCTTTTTCAATCTACCTGCACCAGGTCCCTTTTAATTGAGCCTCAGTTTAGCTGATGCTGAAAGTCTCAGCCATTCCTTTGTTGCCTCTAGACTTCAGTACTTCTATGTGCATCTGGCTGACCTCACAAGTTCTGCCCTTTGTAAATTTGGTACAATCCAAAACTTTGCTGCTTGTTTTCTATCTTGACTAGAGTCCCATTCATAGCACCCGTGATCACTCACCTTCACTGGCTTCTGGTTAAATATTAGCTACATTTTAATATACTCCTCCCTGTTCTTGAATATCGCCATCACTAGATCAGGCTCAAAGGGGCTGAATGGTCTACTCATAATTCATTGTTCATATAATCTTGCCTTTCTTTATCTCTGTTGTCTCCACCAGCTTTACAACACTGAGGTATCTGCAGTCTGTAAGTTTAGCTTCTGGAGCATTTCCAATTTTAAATGCTGTACCATTGATGACTGTACCTTCAGCTGCAAGGGGTCTAACTATAATTTTTTCTCAAAACTTCTCTGCTTTTCTACTCACCTTTTCCACTTCCTAACACTCGTTAAAACCTGACTTTTTATTCTTTCATGGAACTTGGCTGTTGGTGACAAGGCTATCAATTGTTTCACAACACCACTCACTCTTGAACTGAATGGTTTTCTACCACCACTACGGAGGGCAGGTAAGAGTCAACCACCTTACTTTGGGTCTGGAGTCACATGCAGGCCAGTTCTTGTATGGACAGCTGATTTTTAGTCTTTTCCGCATATGCTTTCAAACCCCTCATAGTGCTGAGGCTTTTATTTTTGCAAGGTTCCTCCAAGAACCTGTAGCAATCCCCCTTATTCAAAACTGAAACTAGTTAGCAAATGCCAGTGGCTTGGGAGTTTGCAGCAGCATCTGTGTCTTCTGCTTACACTGTCTGGTAGTCACTCATTCCCTCACTATCAACATCTTCTGTGGAAGTGGGGTGACTATTTCATGAAACCCATGTTCATGATTTTCAGATGCACTACAATGGCTCCAGCCCCTCCAAGTTTTGAAATTTTTGATTTCAGTTCAAGCAACTCGGGTCTTTTTTTGAACTAACGAAGTATCCTGGAATTCTGGCGTAAACAGGATTTTTATCATTAACTCCTGGGATGCGGCTGTTGCTGGCTTGGGCTACATTTATTGCCCATCCCTATTTGCCCTTGAGAACTTGATGATAAGCTACCATCTTGATGCACTGCAACCCATTTTATGCAGCTACACCCATAATGCATTTGGAGACGAGTTCCCAGATTTTGACCCAACAATGCTCAAGGGAGGGCGATGTATTTCCAAATCAGGATGGTGAGTGACTTGGAGGAGAACCTGCAGGTTGTTGTGTTCCTAAGTATCTGCTGCCCTTATTCTTCCAGATGGAAGTGGTCGTGGTTTTGGAAGGAAGTGTCTCAAGAGCCTTGTTGAATTAAGTATGTCTTGTAAATGGTACACACTGCCTCCACTGAACATTGATAATTGTGGAGGAGGGAGTGAATATTTGTGGATGTGATGCCAGTTAAGCCAGCTGCTTTGTCCTGAATCGTGCTAAGCTTCTTCATTGTTGTTGGAGCTGAACTCATCCAGGCAAGCGGAGAGTATTCCGTCACACTCCTGACTTGTGCGTTGTAGCTAGTGGACAGGCTTTGGGGACTCCAGAGGTTAGTAAGTCTGAATCGTACCATCTAACCTGGTTTTATAACCGTAGTATTTATATATTTAGTCCTGTTCAATTTCAGGTCAGTGATAACCCCCAGAATGTTGAGAATGGAGAGGATTCAGTAATGGTCATGGAATATTAAGGGTGATGGTTAGATTCTCCAGTTGGATATGGTTATTGCCTGGCCCCATGTGTGATATGAATATTTCTTGCCACTTGTCAGCCCAAACCCAGATATTGCTCAGGCCTTGTGGCATTTTAGACACGGATTGCTTCAATATTCGAGGAGTTCACTAAATAGGCTACCATGGTCCTCAATCTGTTGGTCCCAACCAAAAAAAACACATCAAATTCAAAATCTAAAGCACTTATGCTACAAGACAAAGATGCTGACAAATGTGACTATAAGAAACTGATCTCACCTGAAAGACAGAGATAGCAATAAGTTCACTAAAAATTTTGGGAATTATGTCTTTCAATATAAAACACTGTTTTATAGTTTTAAAGTACTGTTTTAAAGTACTGTTAGGTAAATTTAATCAATGACAAAAAGCAAATTTATAAAAGAAACAAAGTTATACCCACGAATCTGTTCACTCCACAGCATAGGACCACTTCTATATGAACTGAGTTTATTTTATCGGAGTGTTTCACCTTAGACTTGCTGTGACTGCTCTTGCTCACCCAGTTCCATTTGAGGTTGTTTTGTAATCTGTGTTTTCCTAGCTGTTTGTGATTGAAGTCTTTCAATATTATAAGATAACTCCAGTAATGAATATGTGAATATGTAGTAAAGAGATCTTGAGTTTAAACTTATCCAGTATTTAGCTTGACATAATTGTTTACATTAATCTCCACTATTGAAAAGAGGTATCATTTAGTCAAAAGGGCTTTAGCTTAATTTGTTTCTTGCAAAGCAATTTATGTCTCTTCATCTATCACATTGTCAGACATATTTCTGCCATCAAAAACTTATTTTTCTGCTTTTAGAGCATTATTGCAGTCATATTTATTAATAATAAGCATATTGTTTGCCTAACTGTTCACTCTCTTCAGGGAAAATTTCTGGTTAAGGGCACCTCTGAAACAAATTGGTTTGTTTTATGACTAATGAGTCAATCCATGGTTGCCGCATCATACAGCAACCTGATTATGCTAGCATGGGAACTGCAAATGGAATCCAGAGGATTGCGCTATCTATGTCCATTCTATGCTTTGTGACTTCAGGCTCACAGCAGTTTTCTTAAGGGCCTAGAATGCCACATAACTATTTGCAATTACAAATCTTGGTTTCTCCCGCAGAGCATTGAATGAAATGTGGAAGTGCCAGAACATGTTACGGAGTCATGTCCGCGAGTTATTAGACCTGCACAAACAGCCTGCTGTAAGTTTTACTTGCATTATAATAGTTTGATGAGCATATCATTTTGATCAAAAACTGAATAAATTCAGTTCTGGAATTTTACCTATTGTTCTGGAATATATTTTGATTTTTTTAAAGTACATATGCATAACAAAACTTAAAAAGTGATCACCGTCTCTTCCAAAAAAGACTCTGTTTCTCTTTTTTCAGTCAGAAGCAAACAATACTGCAATGTTTGCCAAGCTAATGGCTATAGCAAGTAAGTACATTTTTTTTTGTAATTTTCTTGGGGGATCAAGGTGTGGCAGTTGAAATTTATTCTGAAAGAGCTTTCCTGTTCTTTGTAGAAATTGGTTGTTTTTCATTTGACTCCATACCATTTAATTGTATGACATGCTTATTTACGTTAAATTTCCAAGATTACTTTGCTTCCTATTTGCAGATGTGATTCTCTTGATAGGATTATTCACATATTCAATTTCCCTCAGTTTTGGAATCTGATGTGTTTGTGCCTGTCAAAATATTGTCAATGGTTTCTTTACCTTTCCATCTTTCTTCCAATTAAGACAAAGCAAATAAAAAGTAAAGTTTTGAAGATATCGCAGTATTCGTCAGTTTTTGACTAATTTGTTTCTAGATTTCCATGAAAGCTCTTGGCTTTTCTTCACACATGGTGCTGAAGCTTTGTTGATCTATTTCAGTGGTAAGGTGCGTGGTTTGCACACAAGTTGTGGGCTTAAAACACGGCACCTCCAAATTGCCCCTTACCTTTGTGATTGTAGTTTAATGTCTTTTCCTTTTGATCTTGTATGAAGTCTTAATATTTTTGGTGTTTTTCTATTCAATTGTTATAATTGAATTAAGGGATGACCAAGAACTAGCATTTCTAACGAATATTGTAGGAACACCATGAATACAATTGGTTAAAAGCAAATTGTTTAAGCTCCCGCATAGGTCAGTGATTCAATTCATACACAATCTTAGTTCAACTCTCATCAGCAATAAACACAATTTAAATAATTCAATCATTATGATAATAGAATTGGAAAAACTTACAACACAGAAGCCATTCAACCATACCAGAAATCTCCATTACCTAATTTTTCTACTTTGTTGGCCCTTTCTATTTCCACTATTCATCCACCTCCCTTTGCTTCCTTCACACTTTCTAGCCTAATAACCTTTGCACATGAAGGTATTTCTCTTAAGCTCTCCCTTTGCTCTTTAGACAGTCAAAAGTTAAGGCTTTGAATTGCTATCCCAGTGACCAGTAGACTTAGTTCCTTCCCTCTCTTGTTCATAATTTTCTTTAAAAAGCCATTATCGTATATTTTGTTAGACTTTTCTGCTTGTGACATGGAAGTATTTATTTTCGTTTATTGTTCCGAAGCGCTTAAGTTCTAAGAAATAGGAGCAAAACTAGGTTATTTAGCCTGTTGAAACTGCTCTGGTAATCACTAAGATCAAAGCTGAGCTCACTATTGCCTTCTATGCCCTGCAACCTTAGATTCTGAGAAAGGACATTCCTTCATATCACTGTTGCAACAGTAACCTTTGCCACTTGTTCTAGATTCCCATACAAGAGGAAGCATTTTGTCAACCTCTACTCTCACATGATTTCAGCTCTCAGTCTTCTAAATTCCACTCAGTATAGGTCCAACCTGCTGAAACCTGCCTTATTAAGTAATCCTTCATCCCCAGAATCAGCCAAGTGAGCCTTCTTTGAAACACTTCCAAAGCAAGTATATCCCCACCCGAGAAGGAAAGGAATCAAAACTAAGCACAGTGCCTTAGTTGATGTCCAGTGAAGTTGTAGCAAGACTTCACTATTATTATACCATCCCAATTTTAATGAAGGTCAACATTGCCTTTCTAATAACTTGCTCTGATTTATGTACAGGTACACCCAGAGCCCTATATACTCCACTATCCTGTAGTCTTTCTCCGTTTAAATCATGTTCTGCTTTTGTTTTTCTGTTTTGGCTATCAAATAAGACAACCTCAGTTGTACTCCATTTGCCAAATCTTTACCCACTCTCTTAATCTGTCTATATCCCTTTGCAGACTCCTGTATCCACCTCACAACTTAAGTTCCTACCCATTTTTGTATCATCAGCAAATTTTGCTGTAATACAGTTGGCTCTTTCAACCTAATCATAAATAATTAAGTCCTCAGCACTGATCTCTGTGACACTCCATTCATATAGTTTGTCAACCTGAAAATTGTCCTTTTATCCTGACTGTTTCCTGTTAGGTAACAAGTCCTTCAGCACTGCCCACAGTGCCATGAACTCTTATATCGTAGAAGCATATGTAGAAAATTAAGTATAGGAGTTATAAAGTATTACCTTAAAGGTCTGCTATTTCTTAGCTATCATATTACCTTTTAAATTATTTTCCCAGTCCACTTTAATTCTGTCATCATACTCTTGTAATTGCATTTATTTAACTTGAAGATGCCAGTTTCAAACCTAAATTCCCCCCCTTAAATCCGAATGTGAAGTTGTATAATGTCATTTTTCTTGAGAATCCTTACGATGAGGTAATATCTTAATTCTGTCTCATTACTCATTACCAGGCCTGTTCCCCGGTTAGTTCCAGAACAAATTGTTCCAAGAAACTGTCTCAGGTGTGAACTCCTCGTAAGGCTACCTTTGCCAATTTGATTCTTCCAATGTACATACAGATTACCATTGCCCATAATTATTGTAGCACCTTTCTTACGAGCCCCATTATTTCTTGATTCAGACTTTGTACTACAGTTTAGCGACTCTTAGGGAGGTCATAAACTACTCCCAACAGTGACATTTTTCCCCTTCGCATTTCTTACATCCACCCAAACTGATTCCAACTTTGATCTTTCAAATCAACATCATTTCTCACGACTGTATTGATATCTTTCTTGATTAACAGATCTCTACCCCATTTCCTTTCCTTTCCTTTTTGTTCTTCTGAAATGTCAGATATCCTGGCATATTTGGATCCCATCTGTGGTCGCATGTAACCATATAATTGTAATGGCAGTCATATTGTATTGATTTATTTCTATTTGTACTATCAAATCAGCCATCTTATTGCGAATGCTACAAGCTTTCATATAACGATCCTTCAATTCTTGTTTTTTAACATTTTTTTCCTACCTTGATCTCATTTGCAGTACAGGGGGTTGTGCTGTAGCGCAATAGTTGCGTTCCAACGCAACATTGTGTTATAGAAAATTGTGCTACAGAAATAACGAGGCCTCTGGGAAAAGCAGGGTTAAGGGCAGAGCACTGAAAAAAGCGTAACACAAAGGATAGCACAACTGTCAACAGCTGTCGGTCTGACTGTGACAGCAGCTTTGCAGCTCCTTTTCGTTCACAATGTGACTAAAAAAAATTGTCAAAAAAGAAAAAAAGTATCAATTGGCAACTTCTTCCAACACTGCCAATAGCAGACTGTAAGATTGGGAGAATTTCTGGTCAGCCATGTGACTAAAAAAAAATTGGAGACTCTACCACCACTATCCATAGTTCCAAACTGTAGCATATACATATGTGCACATTGCCATAGCGACTCAGACTCCTTCAGCAATCTTATCACCACACCACAAGGGTATCGAGGGATATGGAGCAAAGATGGGAAAATCAGGTTGAAGCATAAGTCAACCATGATCTTACTAATTACTTAAATAGGATGCTGGAGCCTCCTGTTGTACCCAAGTCCTGTGCCTCAGTGTTTCCTTTCAAGGTAAGTTAGATATATTGTTTTTCACTCTCCCCTACACCCTATTTTTCCTGATAAGTTAGAAGCCAGCAGGTCACTTATCAGTTTTAATAAAAGCCGACAGGGAGAATTTCTCTAGGACTGTCAGAATCACAGCATTGTAAAAGTACACTGTAGATATCATTAGTAAAGGGCTCCTGACAGCAAGATGCGTACTCAATGGAATCCGTTATGGCCAGTGCAAGTTCGTGTTTTGGAAATAGCGTTCCCCCATTCGTCAATTGCGTTATAGCCAAATTGTGTTGTCAGAACACACGTTATAGCAGAACCCCCTGTATATTCTTATGTTTGTACACTGTCCCTCCTTATGGTGCTCTGGTTATCATTGCCCACCCAGTACTATTACTCTGTCCTCCCTCTTTAACTTTCCTGATCTCCCTTGAATTACCCACACCACAATTTAGTTTAAAATGCTTTCACAGTCTTAGTTATGATTTGCCAGTATGCTGATCTAAGCATGGTTCAGATGAAGGCTGTCCCAATGGTACAGCTGCCCGTTTTCTCAGTACTAGTGTCACAGTCCCAAGAATATTTCCCATGTCTTCCACATCAATCTTTGAAGCCACACATTTAACTCTAAGGAAAAGGAAAACCACCAGTTCAGCTGGGACAACACCAGAATCCTGGGACAGGCGAAGCAGAGACAAGCATGGGAATTCCTAGAAGCCTGGCTCTCCACGAAGAAAGCCATCAATGACCACATAGAGTTAGGCCCCATATACACTCCATTGTGAAGGGAAAACCGGAAGTGAGGTAATCCAACTCAACGGGCACCAGAGTTTAAATAACAGGCGGGAAAACACCACAGCGCTTCATCGGGGTCTGCACTGATGATGTTACCCAGCAGGGTAATGAAACGTCTGCAGAGCAATGAACGAGCTCGGTGAGCCAACCAAGCTACAAATCTACTCTAAAACCTTATAACTCTAATATTATTTGCTCTCTTCCAGTTTGCCCATGACTTGGGTAGTAATCCAGGGATTAATACCTTTGTTCTCCTTTTCAGCTTAATCTGTAGCTGCTCATACCAACTCAGCTGAATCTCTTTCTTGGCCCTATCAATTTTACGGATCAAAAAAACTGGGTCCTATGCCAAGGTCTTTCCATCCCTCAGGAGATTTCCCTAACTTCAGCTCCAGACAGGCAACAGAGCTTTCAGTTTTAATGATGTCAACTGCAGAATGGAACTACTGTACCCAAACACAACTACATTCCCTTTTGTCCCCACTGCCCCCCAGAACAACTGCCTGAAGCTCCTGCCCTCAAGTTGCAAGAACCTCCGACCTTTTGGACAAATGCAAAGGCTGAGGCTCATCAGCTTGAAGTCAAAGTTCCTCAAGTGCCACCACTAGCTGAGTATGTAATTGAAGTGAAATCATGTCTTTGAATCAGGAATAGGCTCTCCATTTCAGCAAGCTACATCTTTTTTAAAAAAAACCTTTGATATTGAGTAAAAGAATGCACATCTTTCCCAGTTTTTACATTTAAATGGTTATTGTAATCAATACTTCACCTGTCTCAAAAACATATTGGGATACTCTGAGAATCAAAGCACCAGTCGCCATATGCCTTGTATACCCTTGAAGTTGGAAATCTGTTTAACATCAGAAGTGTCATTAAGCTCTTGTAATGCTCACCATTTGAAAATATTAGGTTTTGAACTCCATTGATTTTTTAGCACCAGCAAAAATATGGCTGATAACCATGTGTCAATGCTACAAGAAGACCTGTCATTTAAGTGGCTGCCTAATTAGGCCACATTCTCACATTGTTTGCAAAAATGCAAGCCATCCTTCAAATGGCTGTACTTATAAATCTGGAAACATGCAAGATCCAAAATTTTCCTTTGGTAGGATTTGAATTGCAGGGTTTACCTGCTGTCATGTAAGGCATTTCTAGGTATTAGGTAATCTGGTGTTTAATCCAGTGGGAATTGTCTCTTTGCAATTGCCTGAAACAGTGCAACAGTCAACTGTTGAATTCCCACTGTTGTACTTCTCAAGATTCTGTTGTTCAACTCAGTTGTCTTTAAATGTTCTTGATTGGTAAGAGAATTCTGAGTTCATAAAGGTGACATCAGTATTGTGACTTGTCCTCTGACCTCTAATCCAATGATTTGATTGTTTGTCATCCTTCTGAACAAATGCAGAAGGGTTGCAGATTTTGGATTTTCCACCTTGAGAGTGAAGATTTGGCCACTCTTTAAGACATCTGTAGGATTTAGTTCTAGGCATACCTGTTCCTGACTGCCTCACTCTTAATGTAACTGTATTGAGCATTATGTGTTATGTGAGAGATAATTGGAACAGCTAAGACAATTCATTTCAGGGTAAGCAAACTACCAGTTTGAAATTTACTGGTGCAGACAATTGAGTTATGACAATTAAGTTAGATTTTGGAAATGTTCAATAATACACTTTAAGAACAGTAATTCTGATTACTGTATACAGTAAGCATTAATCATGTACAATTTTGAAATCTGTTACATCTATGAGCAGAAAATTTACCTGATCCAGGAAAAGCACAAGATTTCATGAAGAAGTTCAACCAGGTCCTGGGTGATGATGAAAGGCTGCGGGCTCAGTTAGAGCTGCTGATTAGCCCAGCATGTTCATGTAAACAAGCAGAAGTCTGTGTGGTAAGATGCATTATTATTTTATGTGGCTTTGGCCGGTTATTAAATGCTTTGAGATACTATGTTAATAAGAAAATAGTTAAGTAAATAAGGGAAAGAATAGGAGTGCATGATTGAGATATATAAAATTTTGGGAGATGTAGACGGGGCAGAGAAGAAGAGATCCCCTTGACAGAGGGGTTAATGACCAGGTGCCATAAATTCAATGTAAGAGACAGACAATTTAAAGAAGATATGAGAAAAATGGTTCCACCCAGAGTTGGTAGTCATCTGAAACTCACTGCCTAAAAATATAGTAAAGACCAGAAACCTTCATAACATTTAAGAAGAATTTAGATGTGAACTTGCAATACCAAAGGATGCAAGGCTATGGACCAAGTACTGGAAAATGGGTCTAGAATGGATTAGTGCAAACTTGATGGGCTGAAGGGCCTTTTTCTGTGCTGCAGATCTCTGAATCTAAAGTACTTGCACGGTATTTGTTTAATGCCTACCACACACAATTGAATTTAATACATGTCACAATGCAGATTGTGAAATACCATTTTTGTATGACTAATTGTGAATGGCACAGCTCAAACTTCAATATTTAGATATTCAGATTTATCCACATATCTGTCCTAAGCCTGAAGTTGCTGAACTGTTTAGATATAAATAACAGTAATAGTCAGTAGGCACCATTATTTTGATTGCAAAATCTGGCCATGTGTAACCTCTCACTGTGCTCTCGTTCCACTGTGCTGTACTTCGTCTTCAACCACTCCCACCCAAAAATGTTGATTTGATATACTTAGCCAAAGTTTGGATTTGTTAAACCTTTGAGTCAGAAGCTTGGTGTAGTTTTGCTTATAATTAACAAAAAACTAGATTCTCTTCAAGCCTCAAGATTTTATTTCTAAGTCATGGAGATTTCACAGACGTGGTGATCAGAAAGTTCAAATATGATTAGTTACCACGTTCATGTCAAAGAAGATACATCATTGGCATCTTAAGAATAAATCGAATGCTATTGTGCTTGACGAAAATAGAACTTAAGTAAAGATCCTTTAAGTAAAATCTAAATTTGGAAAGAATTCTTTGTTCAACTCTCAACATATGAATTATATCAGTAACTCTCAAAAATCAGCAACTTTTTGTTCACCTTTGTAAGCAGCAGTGGCTAGATGTTTAGTCTTAGCGATGGTTTCTTATTCTGCAAACCCTTCCATTTCAGCACCTGACACCTTCCTATTCTAAGCTGAAATTCTCAAAACTAGATTTGAAATGATTTGCTCAGTCCAGAATTGTCCATGAGCTAATCACATTAGTTCTGATAAATTCATATTTTACCATCAAATTGACCTGGATGATGAAAAATGAAAAACAACAATCTCAACAAAAAGGCTTAAGAATTTTCTTGTGAAATGCTGTCATGGTAGTTTCAAACATTTATAAATAACCATACACACTACTTATATGACCAGCTGATGTGCATTGATATTTAGTACAACACAGACATCTTCCCAACAATGTAACCACTTCCCCTGGTATGTCCTGTGTACACAAATTCAACTTGGTAATTGCTACCTCATTGGTCTGCCCTCAATCATCAGTAAAGTAATAGGTCATCAGTGGTGGTGTGAAGCAGCACTTGCTTGGCTGCACCTCAATGACTGTAGCATTTGAAGAAGGTGGTTCACCTTTTCAAAGGCTAATTTGGATGGTAATAAATGCTGTGCTGCATCCCATAATGAATTAAAAAATTATACCGCTTGACAAGCTTTATCAACGGCAATCATCCATATGTTATTATTAAACAATACACTTTCTCTTTAATTAGAGAGAAATTACACGTAAACTAGCAAATCCAAAGCAGCCCACGAATCCCTTCCTGGAAATGGTGAAATTCCTACTGGAGAGGATTGCACCAGTACACATTGATTCAGAAGCCATAAGGTAAGGTATTTTACAGACTATGTTAATGCTAAGTGTATGCTTGGAATATTTATTGTGCGACTTTAATAACTTGTACTACAAAAGGATTGTCAGGCCACTAAAATATTAAGTAATTAAGTGCTACATTATGTATAGATTTTGTACCACTAGATCAGGGATGCCTCGTAACTTTTAATCACCTCTGGGATGCTATTACTGAAATTTGTTTGTCTCATCAGTTTCGGTTATACTTGGAGACTTTTACAAATCTGACATTTTTCACCTGTATCTCTTATCACTGCATTCTTTTTGCCTTCTGTCTGTTGGTGTATTTCCTTATTGTTGCAAGAATGAATGACAGTAATGAAGTCAAAATGGGATTGCTAGTTCAGAAGGAAAAAAGCACAAATACAGAATTGAATAAAGTTATACAAAATATTAACTGAAGTAATCAATTCAGAAATAAAACTTTGTCCTGTGGCATTTTAATTTCAGCAACTACATGATATTTTTCAGAAGAAACTCTTGAATTGCAAGAAGGGCAGTGAGAGATGTCATCTTGTTAACATGTTAACATATATTGATTAGCTAACTTTTCCCATCTGTTCAAGTGTGGCAACAATTGAAAGTTCACTGTGTCACTGGTTCTGTAATTGTAAATTTTCAAGGTTAGATTGATTTAATGTATAATGTTTACATGTTCTAATTATACTGCACCTTGAGCATCAGTACTAAGTCATGTTGCTTTGCATTTGTGTTAAGTTTTTTTTAATTTACTCGTGGGAAATGGTTGTTGCTATACTGTAAATGTACTTTTGAGTCCAGATTCTTGGACTGATCTCCCGATAAAGTGAAATGAAGCTCTCTGAAGTAACTGCCAATGATTGTCTTAGCTATATAATGGATGGTTGCCTTCATTATGGCATTAGGATCTGGGTAGAGTACTAGTCACGCTCTCGGTATGATCATCATCCAGTGTTTTGGGAAACAGGAAAACCTAAGTTGAAGTTGACTGTCCCCTATAGAATTCCTACTGTTAGGTTGATGAAGCACTCCTTCTCTGCAACTTATATTTAAGGAATAGGACATAGATGATTGTGTTTCTGCCATGTTTAACTGCAAAAGAATTTGACTGACTTATCAGCAATTGCCTGAAACATTTGCAAAATGACATTTGAAGCAATATTTTTCATTTTTCAGGATTCTGAAATACCAGATTTACCACTAGTCTGCCCACTTTTGAACTTATGATATAGAATGGGTCTCTGGATCATACTTAATAACCTCCAAATCAGTCTCTGTTACCTAAAACAATTTGCAATTACATCATCCATTGACACAGGTCGAAGGAAAACATAGAAACTGGGCAGCGAGAGGAGGGCAATAAGTGGTAGCCTGCTCAGTGATGCTCACGTCCCGTTAATGAATTTCTTGAACGAAAAGTTTTGATTGATCACCCCTGAATTGCATAGTTCGAAGAATTGGCAGCATTTTAAAATTCACTTGTCTTCATTCCAATAACCTTCTGTATGAAACTATAAATGTTTTGTGCCTTCTGCAGCTCTTTAGTGAAACTAATGAACAAATCCATAGAAGGGACTGCAGATGATGAAGAGGAAGGTGTGACCCCCGATTCTGCAATCAGAGCAGGCTTGGAGCTGCTTAAGGTATGCAAACGTCAAAATTTCTGAAAGCAATGCTCTGGACTCCATTTACATTTAAATGTTACTTTTTGCGCTTTGAGTTACAGTACTTAGATTTATGTAAGACTTCCAAGAAGGGTGAAGACCTTATAATAAATGTAATTTTATATCTATAATTTGGCAGACAGACCTAATTTCACTTTAGAAATGCTGAAGAAAAGAGACACAGTGTCGAGGCTGTCCTGCACTCATCAGAACCAATACAAAAATACCTAATTTCAATGGAATCACAGTTTATACTGCACAAGAAAGGGGTACTGATTGATTAGCAAATTAGTATTGGAATGGTCCATGGACAGTGCACCAGGGAACTAGTCAGTATTAGTAAGAAAGTAATGCGGGGGAAATTATCCAGATTAAAGGCTGACAAATCATCATGGCATGCTAATTGACATTCCAGAGCTCTGGAAATATTGATTCAGAGATAGTGGGAGCTGCTGATGCTAGAGAATCTGAGATAACAAGGTGTAGAGCTGGATGAGACAGCAGGCCGAGCAGGAAAGCTGAGGTTTCGGGTCTGGACTCTTCTTCAGAAAGAAGGGTCCAGACCCGAAACATCAGCTTTCCTGCTCCTCTGATGCTCCCTGGCCTGCTGTGTTCATCCAGCTCTACACCTTGTTATCTCTGGAAATATTGGATGCGTTGTGGTCATCTTCCAAAATTCTATTGACTCTGGAGCAGTTCCTACAAATTGGAGGGTGCAACTGTATCCCCACCATTTAAAAAAGAAGGGAGAGAAAAAAACAAAATTGTAGACCAGTTAGCCTAACACGAGTAGTGGGGAAAATGCTAGAGCCTTTTAGGAAAGATGTGATAACACTTGGAGAGCATGGATTGGACAGAGCAACCATGGTTTATGAAAGGCACATAATGCTTAACAAATCTACTGGAGTTTTTTGAGGCTGTAACCAGTAGAATGGATGAGGGAAAACCAGTGGAAGTGCTCTGTTTAGATTTCATGAAGGCTTTTGATGACATCCCATATAACAGGTTAGTGAGCAAAAATGAAACACATGAGATAGCAGTAATATATTTCAAGGGCAACTAGGGACAGACAATAAATGCTGGCCAGCCAGCCAGTGACAGCCAGGTCCCACAATTGAATTAAAAATAAAGTGCATAATATATAGGCGTGGATTGGGAATTGGTTTGACAGAGAAAATTGAATGGGAATAAATGGGTCTTTTTCCAGATGGTAGGCAGTGACAAGGGGGGTATTGCAAGGCTCACAGTTTGATCCCAGCTATTTAACATATAATAAAAATAATTTGGAAGAAGAAACCAAATGCTACATTTCCAAGTTTGCTTATGACACATAGTGTGCTTGAGTTTTGAGGAGATTGCAAGGAGACTTCACGATGATGTAGATAAGTTGCGAATGGGCAGTCACGTGGCAGCTGTACTACAATATGACTAAATATGAAGTTGTACACTTCAGTATGAAAAACAGAAAGTGTTACTTAAATGATGATATAGCTCAAGCCTGGAAGCTGTCCAGGTGTTGCTGCATGTGGGCATGGACAGCATCGGTATTTGAGGAGTTGTGAATGATGCTGAACATCGTACCATCATCAGTGAATATCCCCACTTCTGACCTAATGATGATGGAAATTGATGAGCAGCTGAAGATGGTTGGACGTAGGACACCACTCTGAGAAACACATGCCATGATGCCCTGTTACTGAGATGACAGACCTCTAACAGCTACAATCATCATCCTTTGTGCCAGGTATGACTCCCATCAGTGGAGAATCCGCGCACCACCACC